CTCTTCTCTTCTCTCTCTCTCATTCTCTCCCCCTTCTTTTACTTCTATCTCGTCTTTCCATTCCTGGGGTTGAACCCAGAGCCTTCATACTGAGCCCTTCTTAAAATGTTTTTTTTTTTTTTTTTTTTTTTTTTTGCTATCAGGAATCGAACTCAGGACCTTGTGCTTACCAGGTAAACAGCCCACCTGGGGGCGGGGCTGGCTGGCATGTGGTGCTGGGGGATTGAACCGCAGTCACTGCGCTTTGCCAAGCTTCTTCCAAGTAGGTGCTTTAGACCACTGAGCCATCACACCAGCACCCCAGTCCTGGTCTTTTAAAAGATGTTAAGATAGCATCTCTCTCTAAATTGCCCAGGCAGGACTCAGACTTGCAACTTTCCTGCCTCAGCCTTTCTGGGTGCTGGGATTACAGGTATAGGCCACCACACTGGGCTTTACAGCTTTCTCTTAATCATACATATATGGCTTCCGCCTCCATAGGAGCTATCAGCCACCCCAGTGGGAGGCCAGACAGGGCCAACGCCTGGGGTTGCTGCCTCCGGGGAAAGCCACATTGTTCACTGACTTCTTTGCCCCGAATCCCATTCTGCTTCTGCCAACTCCAGTTGGCAGCTCTACACCGAGAGTCCAGTCCCCATCCATTCTTGAGAGACATGAGAGGAAGGAGGAAATGACACTTTGGAAGGCAGCGATGCTCACCACTGTACCGCCAACGCAGACGGAAAGGGCACTTTGGCTTGGGCGTCTGGATCCTGGCTACTCCCACCTCCTGTGTCCTAAGGGGCAGGAGGAGAAGCCAGGGGCCAGGTCCTGTGGGGGCCTGTCGGGGTGGGGGGAGCCCTGTGCACACCCACGTGCCTGACACAGGCACCTTCCCCGCAGCAGGACCTAGGCTAACGTGAGCATGCGCCCTTGGGGTCAGGCAGACAGCAGACACACGCGCGTGTGTACCTGTGTGAGTGACAGCGCAAGCACACACGTCACCATCACAGCCACACTTCCCCTCACCCTGAGGCTGGCTAACAAATTCCTGGCCTCAGTCAGAACCCACTAAGCAGTGCTGTGTAGTGGTTAAGTACACAGACTCTGCGCTTGAGAGCTGGGTTGGAATCCCAGAGCTGCCATCGGCTAGCTATATTTGGGGGCAAATTCTCTCCCTGTTGGATGTGCCTCATACATGGGATAATATCTACTACTGCCAGATGGGGTGGCTTACGGCTCCTGAGATCCCAGAACTCTCAGAAGCCAAGGAAGGGAGATTCCTGTGTTCAAGGCCAGCCTGGGCTAGGGCTGGGGGTAGTAGCTCAGTACAAAAGCCTGAGATGCAATCTCTAATGCTAGGGGGAAAAAAATCTCCTCTTGGGTTGCTGTGAACCGTGTTTCACATGTAGGTAAAGCCTCCTCTATCAGGCTGGCTTCTCTGGGAAGCTTGCTTGGAGAGCCGTGCAGCTGGGCTGGCTATCAGAAGGGTCAGGAGGGAGACGGGGCCTGGGCCCATGTGCCTGTGCTGGCCAGACCAGGGGTACGATTTCCACTGCGAAGGCGAGCCTGGTTGGACAGCTCTCTCTCCAGTTGTGGGCCCTCCACAGGGAAGTGTGACTGAGCTGTCAGCAAGCAGTGCCTCCTGCACCCAGGGCGTGTTTGCCCTGGTCCTGAGAAAGGATCCTTCAGCACCAGGGGCCACTCTCTCCTCTTGTTCTCAGACTCCAAATAAGAACCCATAAGATAGGGGCGGGGGAGATGGCTCAGTGGAATAAGTGCTTCCCT